CCCCCCCCCCCCCCTCTGATGACCTTAACCTTGACATATGTTATCAAGATCATGACCCTGAGTATAAAGTTTCTTAAACTTTACAAAGGTTAAGAAATAATATCACATTTTTTCCATACATATATGATTGATATTATGGCTGGGTTCGGAGAGAGGCTATTAGCGCTATTTGTGTCATTCTATCTTCATCGTCCATTAAACGTACGTGAAACAAGGATAGTATGACACAAACAGCGTTGATAGCGCGCTGCCCGAACGCAGCCTAACTAATATCCTAAACCTCCGCTGCTTAGGAACACACAACTTTTCACGCACGAAGCAAGGTCCATCCAACCCACCTTCCCCCCTGCCATAGAGCGCACAGTTTTCTACGCGAAGCGAAGTCTATATATTACACCCTCCTGCTTAAGGGGGTGTAATGAGTCGGACGCTTCTTGGCAGGAGAGGAGATGGGATAGATCTTGCTTCGCATGGAGTCGTGGGCTCTTAGGTAGAGATGAATGTGAGTGGATCACCTTTCGCTTGAAGTCATTCATACAAAGAATTTTTTGCTTCAAAAACAAATTCTCTGCTTTAAAAACAAATATTATTTTTAAAAATACTTTCAAAGAAAATTTTTATTTTTAAAACTGAATTTTCGTTTTAAATAGTGAAAAAAAATTATTTCTTAAACTTATTCTGTTTAAAAACTTTTTAACAGATAACGAGTGACGATTAAAATATGTCGAAGGTTACTCAGGATCATGATCTTGACAACATATGTTAAAGTCAAGGTTATAGGGTCTATTTTATATATATCATTACTATTATATTCTATATATATTCCTAATATATAACTCTATTCTATATATATTCTATAGTCCTATTCAATATTATTACTATTTGTAAGTAATTATGTAAAATTATGAGAAATTTTTCAGATTTTCTATTTTTTATATTCTTTTCGAACTAGAAACCAGAAGTTTCATACTTTCTCAGAATGATTTCAAAAAAAATTATGAGAAGTTTTTCATATTTCAACACAAGGAACAAAAAGTATTATATTATGATTCTTCAGAATTTTCCCATGAGAAATTAAGAGAAATTTTTATTTTTATTTATGAGAAATATAGGGACGTAAATATCTTAAAACTTAATTACATCATATAATTTCCAATTTCTTGTTACTGGAAAAAAAATAGGAGAGAATATTAAGAAATTTGAATGTTTTCTCATAATTTCTCATTGAATCGTTTTCAGAAAATATAAAATTCCAATTTCTTGTTGTTGGAAAAAAATAAGAGAAAATATTGAAAAATCTGAAAAATTTTTTATAATTTCTCATCGAATAGTAATGAGAAATTATGATATTTTTAATTAATTCTTGTTAAAAAAAATATGAGGAAATATTAGAAAAACTGAAAAATTTCTCGTAATTTCATATAATTTCTCAAATACTGATTATATGGAAAACTATGAAAAAAATTTTTATCAAGGCAACGTTATAACAATAACGAAACAAAACTTACGTTAAGAGTTACAGAATAGGCTTGCAGGAGATTCCCAAGCTATTTCAAGTGTGCTTTCTATGTCCCCGAATGTTCTTTGATCATAACGTTATGGTATGTGCTTACAATCTCGCCAGAACTCTTTCTAAAACTCATCTAGAACTATGTATCTTTTAAAATCTTACAAGAATCTGTGGTCAAAACTTGCATAGGATAAAGTGAGACGCCGTGAACTTGGTGTCTTAGTTTGTTTTTTCGCATTTTTTCGCTTTAAAAAACAGGACTATTAGTTTAATCGATCTAGAACTATAGGCTGTATTGAAAATACAGCCAGAACTCTCATTAATTAGTGAGTTTCCATTAAATGATACGCTAGCTTCACACATACTTATATTTGTGCACAGTATAGTCCATGTAGGCAATCGAATTATAGGCAATATTTTTGTGTGCAAACGAACTGTCGACAAATATGATGTAGGCAAACGGTGCTGTTGGCAATCAATTTGTAAAGGCAAATGGGGTCCTCCCGCTCAGAATAGTACGTTAATTTTTATTTAAATAAAGAAGTGTTTATACACAGTAAAAAAAATTGTGTATTTGTGTTGAAAACAGTCCACTCACGTTTGTGTTAACAGTTTGTGTTGAATTTTTTAACATATTCGAGTGTTAATTTAACATAATGCAATTATGTTATTTAAAGATATTTTGTGAAGTTGATATTCAATGTTTTTTAGTG